TTTTTTTCAAAATTACGGGGTGAAAAAAAAAGAGAGAAGAAAAGAAAGGAAAAGTGTGTGAGACAGTGGTCCTATAATAGCAACACGCCCCTATCTTACCCGAAAGAACAAATCAAAAATATTTTCCGACATCAGGAAAAAGAAAAAAAAAATCCGAAAAAAAAATGTAAAAATAAAAAATAGTTAACGGAGCAATTGAGAGAGATGATCCGGTGTTGTCGTTTTCACAAGGGCCCCACGCATGCTGACCTTTCCTTTTCGTTTTCATCCTTTCCGTCTCTGATATTCCTTTTCCCCTTTATTTTATTTTCTTACACCAAAGTCAATCCATTGGCTAATCATGGTTTATTAATGAAAAAACTACTATATATTAACCTTACTAAGGAGACGTTTTGGTTTATGAATTAGAATCATGTGATTAAAATTATTTTTAATTTATGTATATTTTTTATGAGAGAAAATATTGTAACAAATTATGAATCATTATACGAATGAATCTTCTAATTAAACATCCCCTAAATCTTAAAAAAAAAAAAGGAGCCAATAACCTCTTGCCTTTCTAAGTTCTAACCATGGTGTAACACAGGCTCATTGCAAGTGCTGAATCAAATCCGACGTGTCTAAGAGTCTGTTCTTTTAGAATGTGACTTGAATATAGTTTTTGAGTTATAATTTGAGTTAAAGTTGTAACTTGAGTTTGTGTTTGGTTGTGTACATTTGAGTTATAGTTTGAGATAAGAATCTTTTTTGAGTTTGTGTTTGAGTGAGTCAAAACTTAAATTTGTATTTAGATAGTATTTTAATAAAAACTCAATGGTGATGAAAAATTTTAATAGGGTATATGGGTGGGATTTTATTCCTCTTTTCATTGTCAACGCATAGAAAAAATAATCATCTCAATCAGGATTAAAACGAAAAAGTTATAGTATTTTTAAGAATAGAAAAAATATTGTTCATTAATTTGAGTTCGAGTTTCTGAACTCGAGTTTTAATCCCAAACTCGAGTTCAAACTCGAATTCAAACTTAAAAGAATATGAACTTGAATAAAGTTGAAACTCGAGTTACTTTTTTTGAGTTTTTTGGGTAGCCGATCACACCCTAAATCTTACCCATATATTGTGTGATGGTGGGTCCCATCATGAAAAAGTTAAACTTCACTATTGGTCGGTTTTTTTTTTTTTTTTTTGATGAACGAACGTGAAGCAATTATTAGGTCTGTTTAGTTCGCTGATTATATTTTTAATTCGAGTTGAGATGTAATTTTATGTAAGTTTTTTACTGTAGTAAAAAAATTAGATGTGACTGTTTCTGAGAGATTTTTACTATAACAAAATTTAAATTCTAAACTCAAATTAGCGAAATAAATAAGATCTTTGTAGTCAGGTGAATAAGGCTTCAATGACAAACTTATTGCATAGAAAATTTCCAAGAGATTGTGACACTACATGATGTTAAGTTAAGGTAGTGTTTTCGTCACTGATTTAATGAAAGTTTTTGGCTTAAAACACTGTTTTCCACTGTGGTTCCCAAAGGACCATGTTTTGACATCAAAACGGGATATCAAGGAAAAAAACAAAGCGTAAGTGGTCCTTACTTGGTAAACATTAAAATGGTGGGCCTTTCCTTGGGAAAATGTCCACTTTTATCCATTAGAAGGTTTTGTGATAGATAATAGAGGATTAAACTCTTTCACAATTAAGCTTAAAGACAAGTATTTTACAGGTTTATGGTGGTGTTAGTCCATAAAAGGTTAGTCTCTGAGCTTCCTTTTTTTTTTTTGGCAGCATTTTAGAATCTATAAAGGTAATCTTATGTCTATAACGTGATAAGTTGGTAGCTTGTAATTTTACCAAAACAAATGCATAAGAAAATTCTTGAAGATCAAAACATTTTTACATTATCGGAGACTCTTGAAAATAAAAAAATTCTCACATTTTATGACTGCTTTAGTAAAAATATCAAGCTTTATGCAGTGGACATGTGAACCTTGACTAAGTTTAAAAATGTGAACTTTATTGCTAATTTCTAATGATTATAACTGCTAAAAGAAAGAATTTAGTGCCCAAACTCTAAAATATATTCGTCACAAAAAGGACATTTTTAGTTTGCCACTGACGAGTGCTTGAGCAACATACGCAAAAAGAGACTGAGAATCACACAGCACAATGGGTGCGTTTAGAACTCGTTTTAAAATGATTTTATTTTTTTATATGAAAATGAAAATAAAAACGTTTTCAATCTCAGACATAAATTATTTTTAAAAATGCGTTTAATAATTTTAGCAAGAGATTATTTTCAGTATAAAAAAACGCATTAATGTCTCTCTTTCTCTCTGCTCGAGAGAGGAGAAAACAAAAACAAAAAATAAAAAACGACTAAAAGTCATTTTTCATTTCTCTATCATTTTACACTAAACTAAAAAATCGTTTTCATTTTCATTTTTTGTCTTTATTGCGCTAAACGACGTTTTAAAAACGTTTTTACTTTTTTTTAAAAAAATATGAAAAATAAAAACATGATCAATTCTAAACACGGCCAATAAGTTGCTCTTCCCTAAAAAAACAAGAGAGAGACGCATTGAAAAAGCTTTATCAAACTGCTGGTTACTACTTACTACCAAATATTAGTAAAGAGTAGAGACAAATGACAATCCCCAAAGAATTTTGGCAACATGATTCGCCAAATGACTCGTTTAATTGTTATTGACAAATTGAAATCCAACCACTTTTGTAGAATTATTGATCAATTTGACATTTCATAGTTATGGCTTTCTGAGTTGGGACTTTGTACTGTAGCGCCATAATCGATATCACTGTAAAGCATTTATGATAACTTCTAGAAGAGCTTTTCTAAATTAAAAAAAAAAAAAAAAAAAAAAAAAAAAAAAAAAAAAACCCCCACCGCATGGCCTATATTATGTAGCCCATAGCCCACAACTTCAGACTGTCAAATGATTATATTGAATCTGTCCAAAAAAGAAAGTGCTAACATTTGAGCCCATAACCACTGGCATTCCAACACTTCGTTGAATACTTGAAAATTACCCATGATTTGGAACAGGGACCTATCTAAATTTTCATATATTCTCAGAAAAAGAGAAGAAGGAAGGAAAAAAAAAGGTGACAAAAAAACCTCTTGAAAAGGAGGGGATGGAAAATGACTTGTGCTTTAATGCATCACTTTATTTACAGTCAAAAACTAAAAATCACATATATGCTGATTAGGGTTCCATTCCAGTGGAGCACTAAAACCATTTACAATACAAACTTTGAAACTGGTCTCACATGAGCATCTAAAAATTCACATCACCGTGCACTTGTCTTTCGATTTTGGTTCAGGCCTGGAGGGCAACGTAGAATTTCTGCCACCACTTCTCGGCCCCTGCAAAATATACAGTTTGCAAGACTTGGTGCTTCTCCATAGAACATGAGTGAAAGATGGATATGTTACGAATAAGGTGGGATAAGAAATCCTACCGTCGGACCAGTGACCAGCCTTGAATTGGCAATAGTTGGTTGTTGCTGTGTATTCTGACGCTGCGGTTGTTGATCAAACTCCTGCTGCTGAAGTGCTATCGCCAATTGCAGATCAGGGCTGCAGAAAACATAAAGATATTAAACAATCTAAATGTAGTTCAGCAGAAACGAGAGTCTAAAAATTAACAAACACTGGAGAGCCAAAACAAAAGACTCCAAACTCCAACAAGAAGCCAAAGGAGGAGATTTACTTCAGTGAAAATTTGACTAGATTTTCTCGAAATTTCCTCTTTAAGTTGAAATTTAAATCTTGATCACATAATCCTGTTCCAACTGTGTCAAAAATGTGAATTATATTCTTTAAATTCATGCTAAAAGATAAAAAACCACTGCATACCTAACGTCTCTCTCTCCCTCCCTCCCTCCCTCCCTCCCCCAACATCATCTATTTTCGAACTAGAAAACAAACATCAACACATAAAGCAGTCAAATTTAGAAGATTACTTTATATCCACGCCCGCTTGTGCTGCACTATCAATGCTGGCAATGTAGTCCTGAAGCACGTAAAGTCATAATTATGAATTAACGCATTGGCATTATACATGAATATTTCAGGTATGAAAGAAACACGTACCGCAGTGGTGGTCATGGCATTGTGTTCATCCCAAGTATCATTGGCATGGTTTTCTACCTTAAATTCCTTGAAGTTGCCTGTCATAAACAATGTGTCCCCGTTAACCTGAATGTGCGAAAAATTCTAGTTAGAAATCTAAATTACAAAATGAGAAAAGAGCAAAGATCAGAACAGTGACAAGACAACCAAGGAATATCAACTTCAAAACTTTTGACCATTCGACTAAAATTTGTTAGTGCATCTTCCTCCTTCCACTTTCACATGTAAATTTATTTAGAGCGATATCTGAACAAAAATCATAAAGATTTTTCTTCTGTTTTTTTTTCTTTGG